ATTACCCACAATTATTACCACAAACTAGGACCTGGGGGGCGTTTCACAAAATTGTCATCAGTGACAAATTACAGTTTTTGTTATAAGCTACTGAAATCCTTGCTTCTGATTGGTTATCAGCAGATTTGTCACTGATTTGTGTCATTTGTCATTGAAAAAGGGCTTTGTGAAACGGGTCCCTGATTGGTGTTGGTTCATCAATCAGTCAAATGCAATTTCATTTTTCCATCTGTTCAAGCCTCTTTCAGACCAGCCACTTTCCTCTGTATAAGCTTTATGGAATTTGTATAGCTAATAGTGCTTTACAGTATGTGATTAATATTTTTTGTGGTCTGAACATGTTCCTTCCGTGAGAAATGATTTGCAAAACAAAAATTAAACATTTGCTTAATGATTGTGCATAAAGGTCTGTTGACATATCAATCCATTTATAGTGTTTGTGATACCATGCTTGTCTGACATGTGAAAATCACATTGATCGCCTTTAAGGCTAGTTCACATTGATGGGTAAATTAGGACTTTAGAAATAAATGCTCGATGTAACAGGCCCGTAACTAGAATTTTACTGGGGTGCAGACATTACATTAAGTGGACCTTATTGAGGGAGTGAAGCAGGGAAAAAATTATTATATATTTTTGGGGGGCTACTTTTCAACCTTGCCTGCATGAAAATAACATTCTAAAATTTGTTTTGCATGGAACTCTATGCAAATTTAAGGGGGCTCTTTTCTGATTTCCGGGGCTATTTTGCCCTGAGCACCTGTGTATTTGTTTCCCTGGAGTGAAGCAACTCAGCATGGGCAGGGGGGGGGGGGGGAGGTGGGGGGTTCTCAATTTTCTATGTGAAAATCAGGTTTTTGGTTACAGGGGCATCAGAGCATATTTCAAGGAGGGGGGCACCAACAAAATGGTCTCTTTGGAGGAAAAGGGGGCAACTACACATGTACACATGGTAACACATAATATGTTTAACCACACAAAGCGGAAAAATTCAACTTTAAGATATCATTTTATATACTGGTACATAAAATGATATACCCCTACATTCTAATTAAGGCATTGTCATGGATCATCTTCTAAATTGTATTGTTTCTCTCTTTAATAATAATGATAATATTGGATATTTATATATTGCACATATCCACCCTGCGAGGTATCTGCTTCTGCATCATACTTTCTACTTGTTTCCATTGTTCTGAATATCTATTTGTGAGCAAGTTGGCAATTGTGTGAAAGACCTTGTTAGCGCTTCTCCTATGTTTCTTTCTGCATAAGAAAAAGTCTTAAATTTTCTTTTTTTTTCTTCAATCTTACAAGATTACATCTTATGTTTATTTTTACTCCAGATAGGCCCATATTTTAATATATCCCCTCTATCAGCAACCAAAGAAATGGAAATTCTAGCCCATACCAGGCGCGGATCCAGGATTTCTTAGGGGGGGGGGGCAAATTTGATTAGTGTGCTGAAATTTGAAAATCGTGCCGGCCAATATTTCGCTCAGTGTGTGTGTGGGGGGGGGGGGGGGTAGTGAGCACTTACACATTTTTTTCCCAGGGGGTGTGGGGACTGGGCTTCCCACTCCCCCCCCCCCCCCCTGAACCCGCCACTGCCCATACATAGTTGCAAATTTGTGTTGGATCACTAATAACCTAAAAAACTTAATAGTTTTTTCATCCTTTATCAGATTTTCAGATCATTGGAAGAAGTCAGGTGTGAATATGACAGTTACTTAAGGCCATATTATTATCATTATTGTAATACAGTACATTAACATATACCTGTTTTATAAAGTTTTGACTGTATCTATATTTCTACAAACCAGTCTGCAAATGTGAAGACTTACACCACCACACCCAGCCAGCCACTCCATCCTTCAGTACTCAATGCACTAGAATGCAGCCACATAAGGCGCGTCTTCATCATCTCGAGATTGCCAAATAGCCCGCTATTTCTGATTTTGGAAACATTCCCGAAGTTACAATTGACGTCTTTATCAGCTCGAGATTTGACCTCGAAACTTGAAACTCGACCCTGAGAAATTAGGATCAAGATATTTTGCCCCGCGTTCGCGCATAGTGCGAGTCTTCGGTTTGGTGAAGACGCACCGGACAAATAGCTGGATATTTTGCAAACTATCCCAAGATATCTTGGGATGACAATCCCACGATATCTTGGGATGACAATCCCACTAATTGGAACTTTGGGCTGATGAAGACGCAAACTAGCTGGATAGTTTGCGATCGGGATAGTTCAAATATCGAGATAGTTCAAATATCGGGATATTTGGCAATCTCGAGCTAGTGAATACAGGCCTATAAATAACCTTTGGCATACTGCTATACTTCCTTGTGGCTACTCTCACTACATGTATGTCAAGTAGCCAGTGCTCATGTTTAGGATGTTGCCATGGTTTCAACGATCAGGTCATCCGTGTTCAAGGAAGTGGGTGTGGCATGACAGAAACAAAGAGAGTGGTCTGTCTAAGATTGATAACCAGGATAAAGATTAGTTTATATTGCAAGAAGGATCCGGACATGAGTATTATAGTGTATCCTATCATATTATTATTATTGCACAGTTTATGTTTTGAACTAAAAGGTACTTAAGTTTGTTTAGTCTATTCTGTCGATCATGTTTGCACTAAATAAATCAAATTTTGCCTTCAACATCAGTAGTTGAATCATGCATAAAAATATACATGTATATATCAAAATGATTTGATCAGATTACCATAATCATTAGGCAATAGGCAGTTGAATAAAAACTTAATAAAAACATTTGCTTTGTTATTCTAAAATAGTACTGTATATTTTAAGAAATTGTATATCCAAGGCAGCAATTGTGCTTGAATCTTACTCTTTACTGCACCCACTTTGAAATACATGTAGGCATATGCACTACTGTTTAATAAATGAGTTCAGTATACTATTTGAGGCTACTGGCAGCATTTTGATGAATGCATGCATTTCCCACCCAATCAAAAAATGAAATCAAAATCCCTTTGTAGAGAAAATTGCCTCAGGAAAGCGACTTAAATTGCCCAATATTCAAGCACTTCCATAAAATAGAACAATTCTCGGGATGCCTTAAGGCAATTTTCCCCCTGTTATATTATCCATCCATCCTTTTCTTTTGATCTGGGCCTCTTTTGTCAAAAGGATTTTTTGTTGTACATGTAATTGTAAGAATTGTATCATGCCTATTTGGTGGGTGTGTTCCTCTTCCAAGCTATATCTGTTATTATGTTGCGTCTCTGTTGTTCCCAACACAAAGAGACAGGCTTCCAAGTCAATCATTGTAACTACTGGTATTTGATCCTGTGTTCAGGTATTACCTTCTACTACAGAGTGATGTCATTGCAAAGTTGATACACAAATGATATAACAACTCCATGTACTCTCAGATTATAGGCTTTCTTTTCCAACTTCTAGTGGACTTCAAAGTGGCTATATGTCAAAGTGGCTATATATCAAAGACCGCGTGATTTAGATATTAAAGGTAAAGACCAGTTTTGGAAACGCCCCCCCCCCCCTCTCAAAAAATGAAATGGAAGCTCTTATTACCAATCATGTGAAAGAATATGTTTCAACTTATACGTGATCATACAAATTTTGCCGAGAAAGTGAGAAACCGCCTACTAATTGGTATATTTGGTAAATTATTACATCTATTTGGACCTGATAGATATAACGCACGTGTGGTACACGCGTCGTACACTGCTTGTAACTTTACCAAGACAGGGCCAAATTTCTTATCATTTTGATGATTACAGAACCATGCAGTACACTCCAATACACTTATATGCTTGATGATCAATTTTTTCTGATCGATTCCACGTTTCTTTCACAATGCAATCGCATGACCATAACTGATCTTTACCTTTAAAATCCATGGTATCTTATTTTCATTTTGTTAATTTCATGTCTCATTGGCCACCAAGTACAAGCGTAATGGATGGTAGCCACGTAGTGTTTTTCATGGAAGTACTTACTGATATGTATCTAGAGGAACCAGTCCAGGGCAGTATTGTATATGTCACCATATGCTTTGAGAAAAAAAAGTTGTCTTAGGCCATTTAAAAAAAAGATACATTAATTAATTTTTTTTAAACTTTTTTTTTTTTAAATTAAAGAAAAAAAATTAAAGAAAAATACATGAAAACACTGCTAAAATAAATCTATTTCTGATTATTTTTGTTTGGCCATCTTAAAAAGTAGCCCGACTGTCAGGGAAAATGTACCGAGCTGCACTTTTGAGTGGCCATTTTGAAAGAAAACAAAAAAGGGGCCTCCTTCCTATTTTTCAAAGAGGCAGGACACTAAACATGTTTGTTTGTTGTTTTTTTTTTGGGGGGGGGGCCTTATTTCTCTTGAACAGTCGGTATAGTGTGAGGGCAGTACAGCAATAATTTGGCAACAATTGATGTAGGGATTATTTCCTACACTAAAACAGGATTCCTTTATTCAACCAAAATGTTGCAGGAGAAAGCATGGAACAAACTCTATACCCATGGATTTACAACAAATCCTAACCCCTAACTAACCTGAGGGGAGTTTCACAAAGACTAAGATCAACTTTAAGTTGGACTTAACTATGGCAGGCCATTCATTGAGGTCTCTCAATTATGATCTTTAGATAATGTGTTTTCCTTCAATAATGATCGAACTATCAACAGATGTAAATTCTGTAGATTTGTGACCACGATTTGTACGTCCCTTGAGAGACCAATGCCAGTAAATGGTGAGAGCAAACAGTGGCATGAACAGCCTGCCACAGTTAAGTCCAACTTAAAGTTAATCTTAGTCTTTGTGAAACGCTCCCCTGAAACCATATTGTAACCCAATTCCTAACTCTGTATCTTTGACTAAATTTTACAGGAGAAAACGCCACAGGAGCGAGTGTTGCATCACTGATGCGACTATAGATGGTAATATTTTATCAACTTATGTACAAAACTTACGTTTTTGGTTATCAATTTTGTTTTTTTATTTCTGAACAGAAAGCTGCGAAGTATCCTACAGATATAGAGATAGAAGCAAGGAAATGGGTACAGGATGTCTTGGGCGAACCGTTGCAGATCCAGGAGGTTGGTTCTCATCACTTTGCAGAGTCACTCAAGTCTGGTGTTGTGTTGTGCAAGTGAGTATGAACAGGGAAACTTAAAGGGAAGGTTGAGTTCTGGGAAGAGATGAAAAATAATTTGTGAGCGTTATCATTGTATTATGCAAAGTGGGGAAGAACATCAGATAGAAAATGTTCCCTGACAAGTATGGCTCTTCAAATGCCTTCATATTCTAAATATGGCATGTAACATCGTTAAAAAATGGACAGATTTTTAGGTCACGTGTTCGTGTAGTCCCATATACATGTAGTACATCCTTCTGTGTACAGTGCTTGTTACTTTACCAATACTTGACCAAATTTGTTATCACTTTGATGTTTCCAGAACCTTCCAATACACAAGAATACTTATGTGCTAGATGATAAACCTTTTCTGATCGAGTCCACACCGTTTCTTTCACAATGCAATCGCATGACCAGAACTCAACTTTATCTTCAAGAGTCCCTGGGGCGTAATTTTCAAAAACAGTTTCTTGAGAATGTGATGTATTAATGCTCATGTCTAAAAGTTTTTAACAAAGGCCTTAATTCAACCAGTCTACCTTTCATTCTTGAGTTACAAAAAAACAAAAAAACATGAAAGTTAGGGGTATGAATAATTTAAGTATTTACCAACATAACGTGATAGATTGGGGGTAGAAAAAGGTGTCCCATATTTTCAATTCCTTAGTCAAGTGGGCTCAAGTTTATTGTGCAAGTAACGGTAGTTGTTTTCAAAAAAAATTACCAGTCGGTATAAAAAAAAATGTTAGTCAGTCTGGTGCAAAACTAAGAAGTTACAATTGTTTTTCTAAGTATCCTTATGAAGTGCACTACCAGTTCCCTGAGTAAAACTTATTTTTGTTATATGGAAATTGACAAATAAGGAAAATACTTCTCCGCGAAATCAAGTATTTGAGGAAGACTTTACAACGGGATGACTACTATACAGTTTCCACGTCAGCATTTGTGAGGATAATAGGCTAGAAATTACATTTCTGATGAAAGATGATTAATCTGTTTGCTTTCTTCCTTCTCTCATTTTTGTAATCTCTGCTCCTTCCCTCTATTTCTCTCCCTCTTTTTCTTTCTCCCCCCCCCCCCTCTCCTCTTCCATTTCACTTCCCTTTTTCCCCTTTCTATTCCTGCCCCTTCTCTCTCTCTCTCTCTCTCTCTCTCTCTCTCTCTCTCTCTATCTCTCTCTCTCTCTCTCTCTCCCTCTCTCCCTCTCTCTCTCCCCTGTCTATTCCTGCTCCTTCCCTCTATTTCTCTCCCTCTCTTTTTCTTTCTTCCCCCTCTCCTCTTCCATTTCACTTCCCTTTCTCCTCCTGTCTATTCATGCCCCCCCCCCCTTCTCTCCCTTTCTCTCTCTCTCTCTCTCTCTCTCTCTCCCCCTCTCTCTCTCTCTCTCTCTCTCTCTCTCTCTCTCTCCTCTCCTCTCCTCTCTTCTCTCCTCTCCTCTCTCTCTCTCCCTCTCCCCCTCTCTCTCTCTCTCTCCCCCTCTCTCTCTGTATTTTTTTTCTCCCCCTCTCTCTCTGTATTTTTTTTCTCCCTTTGTTACAGATTGATCAACACTCTCAGTGAACATTGTCAGATGCCTAAAATCAAGAAGATCAACGAAACAAAAATGGCATTCAAACAGGTACTGGACCTCTTTTTTTCATAAGACATATTATCAATAACAATACCGGTAATTAAAAAAATCTACTGGTACTGAAATCATGAAATGCGATTGGCAGAGAGCTCATTTCTTATAGAATCATGACATTTTTTTTTTCATAGACTAATTTGATTAAAGGTAAAGACCAGTATTGGAAACGCCCCAATTTCAAAAAATGAAATGGAAGCTCTTATTACCAATCATGTGAAAGAATATGTTTTGAATAATACATGATGATAAAAATGTTGACGGGAAACCGCCTACTAATTGATATATTTGGTAAATTAGTGTATCTCTTGCCTGTTGAGAGATCCAAATGCATGTGTCGCGCATGTGTGTGTAGTCCCTTATACATCTTTCTGTGTACAGTGATTCTAACTTTATGAAGACTTGGCCAAATTTCTTATCGTTTTGATGATTCCAGAACCTTGCAGTACATCTATGCTAGATGATCAACCTTTTCTGATCGATTTCACAATGTTTCTTTCACGATGCAATCGCATGACCATAACTGGTGTTTAGCTTTAAACAGGCCCCTGATGTATTTTCCTCACTGGAAATGTAATTGAAAAGAAGTTTCAGTATTTTGTCTGTTCTAAAAGGGGCTAGGAGTCAAAGTAAGCCTAATGTTGCTTTTGTTAGAAGATTATCACGAGAGCAAACATGGAGTGAAGTGTGTTGTTATACCTTTTGCAAATTTACCTTTTGTTTACATCAGTCAGTAAACTGTGCTGTAGAGTAAGACGATTTGCAGCAGATTGGCTGTGCTGAGCCAGTCTAGCATGACGTTTCACTCATCGTTTGTGTTGTGTTCATACAGAGTTATTTGTGTTCAACCAAGTTATTTGTGTTCACATAGAGCTGTTTGTGTTCACACAGAGTTGTTTGTGTTCACACAGTGTTGTTTGTGTTCACACAGAGTTGTGTGTGATCACACAGAGTTGTGTGTGATCACACAGAGTTGTGTGTGTTCACACAGAGCTGTTTGTGTTCACACAGAGTTGTTTGTGTTCACACAGAGTTATTTGTGTTTACACAGAGCTGTTTGAGTTCACACAGAGTTATTTGTGTCCACACAGATTTATTTGTGTTCACACAGAGTTGTTTGTGTTCACACAGAGTTGTTTGTGTTCACACAGAGTTGTTTGTGTTCACACAGAGTTGTTTGTGTTCACACAGAGCTGTTTGAGTTCACACAGAGTTATTTGTGTCCACACAGATTTGTTTGTGTTCACACAGAGTTGTTTGTGTTCACACAGAGTTGTTATGATGGGGTGAGCTTATATATGCATGTACATTGTGATCACTGTATTTTCTTAAAAGACTTTTTATCGAGAGACTTATATGTACTAGTATATCAACACTGTAGGACGCAATGACACAATTAAAGTCGAATACCCACTCTGGCAATCCAGGAGCTGAGAGTTTTCGTTACAAACTTCCGAAATATATGACTACTGCTGGTCTACGTATAGCCATACAACATCTTCACATTTCATACGAACGCTATGGAAAACACGGTGGAGAAAACCGTATAGACTATGTTACAGATTTATTGTGTCATATTTTACCTCATCTTGACAAGTTTATCTGTGAGCATTTTGTTACCATATATGAATACCCGGTACCAAGTGACACACAGGCCCAAGATGGCGCGGATAACCCCCAATTTTCCCGCCAAGGCGTCCCAAACAAATCTACTCAAACAGGAGAAGGGAGGATTGAAGATAATCAGAATGAAAACAATTGCAAGACCTGTGGTACAATCACAACTACTTTGGAATCTGTTCAAAACCAACTCCAGGTTTTGAATGAAACCGTCAATGGCATCATCTCGTCAACAAAAGGCTCTAAATCAGCTAATCAGACGACAACAGATGAAGCTCAAATCGATTCCGACGCAAGCACGGAGAAAGATCAGCATTGTAATGAACCTAATAGCCTTACAATAGATGATCAATTACGAGACTACAAAGCAAAACATCAGCTCCTGAGAGCATCATTGGTCACGCAGAATGCCCATTCAACCGATGTTTTGATTGTTGGTGATTCCATGGTAAAGGACATCAACCCTTCGAGGCTATCAAGAAGACCCGTTAAGTGCAAAACATTCAGAGGCGCTCGTATTGGAGATGTTTGTGACATTGTTTGTGAGCAAGCTATTCAGCAAAATGCTAAAGAAGTAATCCTTCATCTAGGTTCGAACGATGTCACTTCACACGACGCAGATGAAATTGTTGCAAAACTTGAGTCCCTGGCAGAACAAATTGTCAAACTGACACCAGCCAAGAAAATAACTGTCTCGACAATAATCCATCGTCGCGGAGAATCAGCAAGCGATTTCGAGAAAGTGCGCAGTGTAAATGAAATGTTGAAACTTCTAGCCAATCGCCGCAGCTGGGGAGTCGTGGACAATGAAAACATCACTCCTGACACACATCTCGCCGCTGATGGCGTACACTTAAACGGCTACGGAGTACGTGTATTGGCACAGAATATCATCGCATATCTTCGAGGATCCCGCCCTGCGTTTCATCGTGACCAGTTTCCATCAACTACTGTTTATGTTTCTGGTCCGGCTAGTTTGGATAACGAATATCCTCGGCTCCAATCTCAATATCCTGATGCTCCGTCTTTTCAGATGATGAGCAAAGCGAAATTCCGCAAGAAAGCGTCCGACCGTGTTTTCCCACGAGACTGGCTAGATTGTCTACAAACAGCCCGGAGACTCCTCAACAGTCACATAGATTAGACAATAGTCATGAAGACATTGATGACTTCAATCGATCAAGTGATTCAGTTCGAAATAGTGACAATGCAGACAGTAATAGCAATCAAGAAGCCTATCTTGAACTTGCTGATGATGGAAGTATACCAGTTATTTCAAAACGAGGATTACGTATGTGTCATTTGAATGTTAATTCCTTACCAAATAAACTTGAAGACCTAAGGTATTTGTTAAGAAATTCTCCCTTCGACATCATTGGCCTTACTGAGACTCATTGTGATAACACGGTTAGTGACAACGAACTGCATATTGATGGTTATGATTTACTAAGGAAAGATAGAAGTAGGCATGGTGGGGGCGTGATGATTTATTTGAAGAACACCCTCCACTTTCAACATGTGAAAGATCTTGGGTTAAACTTAGAAACTATTTGGATAAAAACCAAGGTACGGAACGTGAAATCATTTTTAATTTGTGTTATGTACCGTCCACCGAACTCTTCAGTTGATTATTTTGATTTAATGTCTGCTATGATGAGTAATGCTCTAGATTTTGATTGTGAACTGATTATATTGGGGGACCTCAACTGTGACCTACTTTCTGACAATGTCGATTCATCGACACAATCTCTTATGACTGTAATGCAGGGATCACTTTTGTCACAGTTGATTGAGATTCCTACTCGTGTGACCCAGCATTCTAAAACACTTATTGACCATATTTATACATGTCCGGACGATCACAGTATTTCAGGTGTCATAAAAACTCACATTAGTGATCATTTTTTGATATTCACATGTTTACATTCTAGAAGTGCTGGGAATGTTCATAACGATATCAAATTCAGAAACTTAAAAGAATTTAAGCAGGTAAATTTTGTCAACGATCTCTTTAACTTAATGTTTAGAGAATTAGCTTGTGTTAGCAACGTTGACACAGCTTGGAAATTGTGGTACAATCAAGTAATGTCAGTTATTAATAAACATATGCCATATAAACACAAAAGAATGAGGAAAAAACCCTCTCCTTGGATCACAGGTGAAATTATTACATTGATAAATAAAAGAAAGTATCTCCATAACAAGGCTTTAAAGTTTAACTCCTCAGGATTATGGAAAGAATATCGTAGAATACGTAACATGGTAACAAGTTTAACTAAAAAATCTAAACAAAAGTATATACAGGGTTTATTGCAAGATAAGTCTGGTGACCCCGGTGCATTATGGTCTATTCTAAAGCAACTATCCTCTAGCACTGGTCAGCTTTCCATAAAATTGAATATTAATGATGTTGAAATTTATCAGCCTGAAATTGTTGCCGAAAAACTGAACGACTACTTTATTGATAGTGTTTCAGAACTCCTGGGAAAAACAGATTGGAGAGCTAGTGAAACCACAATTCCAGATGTAATTGTCAGTTGTCCATTGCCACAGGAGAATTGTGAGGACCTTGATCATGTTGATCGTCAAATTTTTGATATTCCTCCAATCACCTACGATTTTGTTGTAAAAGAAATTGATAGCCATTCTGTAAAAAAAGCGACAGGGCCTGATGACATCTCTGTTAAAATGTTGAAAATGATGAAATATGCCACAAATGTAATAGATGGTCTTATTTATATTTTCAACCTTTCTTTGTCAAAAGGTCATTTTCCAAAAGCATGGTGCTTGGCCAAAATTCGCCCTATTTTTAAGGGCGGTGATCGATTATGTATAGAAAATTATCGACCAATATCCTTATTGTCAATTGTTTCAAAAATTTTGGAGAAATGGGTACAAAAGCATTTACAGACATACTTATTAAATAGCGATTTCTTCAGTGAAAGTCAATTTGGCTTTAGACCAAAGCATTCATGTGAAAGTGCTCTATTGTGTATGGTTGATGACTGGGCAACTGAAGTTGATAGGAGTAAATTTTGTGGGGTAGCGTTTATTGATATGCGTAAAGCCTTTGATTCTGTTAACTACGATGTATTGCTGAACAAACTTTCTATGATAGGATGCTCTGAGAATGCATTGGCATGGTTTAAATCCTACTTTTGCTTTAGGGATCAATTGACAGAAATAGGGGGTAAATTATCCAATACAAGGTCAACTATCTCTGGGGTACCACAAGGCTCTGTTTTAGGGCCCCTGTTGTTTACAATATATATTAACGATTTGGTTTCCAGTATAAAGTCAGGAAAAGTTGTCATGTTTGCTGACGATGCAACTCTGTATGTTAGTGGTAGTAATCTTGAATCGGTTGAAAGTCAACTAAATTCTGCAATGAATGAAGTCTACAAGTGGACATCTAAAAATAGATTGGTACTAAATGATAAAAAAACGAAAGTGATGCTTCTTGGTTCTCGACAACGATTGAATACCTTGCAGGATAAAAAAATATCTGTTATAATTAATGGTACCTTACTAGAATGTGTATCTGAATATAAGTGTCTGGGGGTGTCGATTGATGATACTCTGACATTCAAATCTCATGTTACTTCTATTGCAAAAGTCATGAAACAAAAACTTGGCCTAATTAGAAGAAACAAGTATATATTTAATGTTGATCAACTCAAAAGATTATATTGGGGATTTGTTCTCCCCCATGCATTATATTGTTCAACCGTCTGGTCATCTTCATCCGAATCTAACTACAAAATATTAAACACGCTACACAAGCGCGCAGCATATATTGTAAGTGGATATACTTGGGAAACCTCATCGGAAACAGTTTTTCGAATACTAGCCTGGCCTACTCTAAAAGAACTGTTTAACAAGTCAATATCATGCATGGTGTATAAATGTGTAAGTGGGGTAGCACCATCCCAGTTAAGTAGTAAATTTGTTCTAAATGACAATGTCTCTACACGTGTAACACGAAGCACCAACAGGTTGTTATTACGTATCCCTCAATGCAAAACTCAATTTTATCGGAGGACATTTGTACCAGTTAGTGTAAATGAATGGAACTGTTTGTCCGATGAATGCCGATCTGCCCAGTCCTTAGCCATTTTCAAAAAATGTATCAAACCTGGCAATAAATAGCTTTTTTAATGAAGGTGGAGGAGGGGGTTGCAGTGAGGTCAAATTCATCTTATGCTTGATTTTAATGTAATTTTTAGTTTGTAAACAGGTGGTAAACAGGTGTGTGTGTGTGTTAGCTTTCGTTACCCCTGTCATTTCTATATATAATATTGTTCATTGTCATTTTATGTTGTTTTTTAAACAGAGCCCTGTTGTAAACCAGCCTATTTTAATGTTTTTAACAATGTTTTGTAATGATTTTTAGCTGAACATGTTACTCTGTATAAAGATGCGAAATAAATAAAAAAATAAATAAATAAAACACAGAGTTGTTTGTGTTCACACAGAGCTGTTTGAGTTCACACAGAGCTGTTTGAGTTCACACAGAGTTATTTGTGTCCACACAGATTTATTTGTGTCCACACAGATTTGTTTGTGTTCACACAGAGTTGTTTGTGTTCACACAGAGTTGTGTGTGTTCACACAGAGTTGTGTGTGTTCACACAGAGTTGTTTGTGTTAACACAGAGTTATTTGTGCCTGCCAGCCTTTTATATCTAGAGTGGACATTGACATACACAGTGAAACCTCGGGAGGTTGTGGCACATTTGGGCTAGATATAAATGGGATGTATGACGTACACTTTGTATTTCTGAGCAGTTTGAGTTAAAATCACAAAAGAGGTTTAGATTTAACTCAAGGTGTAACCATGGTATAGACCACTCCTTCAAATAAAATATGTGTAAATAAGCGTGCAGAAGCCTATATATTGTTCATTTATTGGACATAAGGGCATGCATGTATAGAGGTTTAAACCTTTGGTTAAAGGCCAAGTCCACTCCAAAATAAATTGCTTTTAAAGCTAAAGACCAGTTATGGTCATGCGATTGCATTGTGAAAGAAACGTTGTGGAATTGATCAGAAAAGGTTGATCATCTAGCATAGGTTCTGGAATCACCAAAATGATAAGAAATTTGGCCCAGTCTTCATAAAGTTACAAGCACTGTACACAGAAAGATGTATATTGGACTACGCACACGTGAGCGACATGTGCGTTTTTATCTCTCACATCCCAATAGATAAACTTATTTACCAAATATATCAATTAGTAGGCGGTTTCCCGGCAAAATTTTTATCATCATGTATTATTCAAAACATATTCTTTCACATGATTGGTAATGAGAGCTTCCATTTCATTTTTTGAAATTGGGGCGTTTCCAAAACTTGTCTTTACCTCTAATAGATGCCCAGAAACAAGAGAAACAAAAGCCAAAAAAAATGATTAAAATCGGATTAATAATAAGGAAGTTATGAATTTTTGAAAAAGTATGGAACAATGGAAATCACTAATCAAATTGCCAATTTGGTTATCAGTTTGTGACGTCATTGCCTCACTATTTATCACTTGCTTTACATATTTTTATCCCATTAATTGCCCTTTTTATCCCCAAAAACTTCATTTTGCCGAGGTTGTAGGATTTGTATCATATTGCATGCATGACATTTTACAAAACCTTTTATGAACCTTGAAAAATTGATACTAATTTTTTAATATTGAATATTCATAATCATTTATTTTTATATAAATAGTTTATCAAAATTCACATTTTTCATGATTTAAATGAAAAAAAAATTACTCTAGATTAGTGTGTCCACACAAAAACATATTACTATCAATATAACTTGGATGCTGGTGCGAGGAAATAAGATTCTTAGTGGTAAAATTGCAAATTTATATTATCAATATAAAGAAAACAATTAGTAGAGAGTTAGGCAATTATGTCACAGACTCATGAGTTGCCTATTTGTCTTGTGACTTTCAAAGTTTTTCATGTCATTAAAAATTCATTACTTTTTTTCTTCCAATTTTGCTCAAACTTTTTTTCATTGGTTTGTCTGATATATTTGGAGCGGCCTTTCCCTTTAAGAATTAAGATTAACCAGTTTTCTTGAATTTGGTCCTATATATATCAACTTTAATGACTGCTATATCCATGGGCGTAGATCTGTAATTGATACGTATTGTTCAGGGGGGATGATCTATTCATTCATCCCCCCCTGAACAATAGGTATTATGTAAGGATTGACGCCCATGGCTATATCATTCTAGCTTGGGTAACATGTTTTCCGACAGCCTTCATGAAGGCAAAAAGGAAAATTGCAGAGAAGTGGTGATTTATTTCATGACTCATTTCTTCTTTTATTCTACAGATGGAGAATATTAGTAATTTCCTAACGTTTGCAGGCGATTTTGGTGTACCAAAGGAATCTCTCTTCCAGACGGTGGATCTCTATGAGGAACGAGATGTGGGGATGGTATGTATTCAGCTGAAAATCAATATCCTTGGCTGGGGTAGATCAAGAGATCTGTAAATGGGGGGGGGGGGGGAATTGTAAATATTACCCTTAACAAGAAGTGTAAAGGTACCGGTATTCCATTTTGGATGTGCCACTGTACTTTTTTTGTTTTTTTGAAAAGAAAATATTAAAAATGTTATCACAATTTTCGAGTGCTTTGGAGGTCGGTAATCTTAAAGGGGGAGGGGGTGCAAAAATATAATTGGAGTAGGTACATTTCCGTGTTTGTGTGTACTGGGAGTATACTGGTGTGACACCCCCCCCCCCCCCCCCCCCCCTGATATTTACTCTTGGTCCAGACAAAAAATAGGGCATTGTAGCACAATCCAAATAATTTTGTTTTTATCTCCTTCAGAAAATTATTCTTGCTCATACTATTATATTTGAGAAAAAATTAACTATATTAAAAAATGTAGCAATATCAACCCTGCCCATATGAAGGGGGAAAAGGTGATTTTCCTGTTGAAAACGTTTGTCTCTAAAAAAAAAAAAAAAAATCATGTTTTTTCTATTGTAGTTATTTTATTTTATTTTTTTTTGTTTTTGTTTTTGTTGTGTGTTTGTGTTATCAGGTTGTGATGTGTCTCCTTCGGCTGGGCGGCGTAGCTACAAAGAAGGGCTATCCTATCAAGTGGGGTATCGCCGTCGCAGACCCCAACAAGCGTACATTCACCGAAGAGCAACTGGCTGCAGGCAACAACATCATCGGCCTTCAGGCTGGCTCGAACAAGGGCGCATCCCAAAAAGGATTAAGCTTTGGAACACAAAGAAAAATGTGAAACTCCCCAGATAAATATGCACACATACATGTACACCTTGGCACGCCGGTGTTACCCGTGAGAAATATATAACGTCTGCTGACAGCTAAAAGGGCATTTAATCAGTGCTAATGTATGAGGCCCGAATTCACGAAAGTGGTTTATCTTAGCCCATAGTGTATATCTCCATTTTAATTAAAGCAGACTAGTACATGCATGTCCTTGTGTCCAGTGAACAGGCAATATACAGTCAAACCTGCTTTAGTGACCACCTGTCTACAAAGGCCACATTTGTTGTTTCCCTTGAAAATGGTTTCTCATTGAATCATGTACTAAATGAACCTGTCTACAAAGACCACCTGTCTACAAAGGCCACTTTTTGTGTTTCCCTTGGGTGGTCGCTATAGACAGGTTTGACTGTATATGCTTCTTTACCAGCTTCAGATCTGTATCCTCACTGTATGTTTCTTTACACAACAGTAGCTCAGTTCAGGTGGGGGTATTTCAGTTCAAGGGGAGGGGTTTTTAACCATAGTAAAGCCATTGGGTTAAATTTGAACCTTGTTTTGTGAATTCAACCCTATGACTTATGTCCTTCTGGCTCTCAGCAGACATCATGTACTAGTTTGAGCTAGAAACATAAAGCCGGATCTTAATTTTGGCCCATCAAAAAATGTTGGTTAAACTTAATATTCTCTGGTGCTACATAAAAGTGAGCAGTTCTTCCATATCATCATTAAGTTTATTTGTTTGGTGCAACTAGAATCATGTTTCTCCAAATTAGTGATTAAGCACAAATTACAATCAAATACAGATTTCATATCGTCAGCCACATCGGCCAACTTCCAACAAGTAAAGAGTACAAGAAAACCTTCATTCTGACTTGCTTCTTTAAGAGTGTTGATTGGTGGGAAGTTGTATTGCTTTTGATAGGGGAACTGTGATTGGCTGTCGGTTTGCTGGCATCTTATGAGGGAGTTGTGATTGGTTGTTAGTTGTTACCCTATCAGGGTCCACGTTTCAACAGTAAAGGAATAAAACATATTTTCTCTTTGGCTGTTAATTGTAGCCATTCAGTGACCCCTTGCAAGAAGTAAATAGTAAAAAGAGAATTTTGATTGGCTGTTACTTGCATCTGATCGTGGTTTACCAATCAAAAAGTAAATATAGAAATTTAATTCTGACTTGCTTCTGATAAGAGGGCTGTTATTGGTTATTAATGGCATCCAATGAAATTGCATTTATCTGTCTAAAAGGCTTGTTCTCCAAATGCTATTGTGACTGTAATATTGAGAGTATATTGAAGATGAAATTAAATAAGATGACTTGATACACGGGAAGCTGGTAATCATGGAGTTTTGAAATTAGTGTCAAGTCTGACAGACATGAGCGCTATACAAGAACCCACCATTATTATTATTATCATTATTATTATTATTATGAAAATAGGACTGGCATGTGGCCCAATATGTATTTTCTTTTTTAGTAATTTGTATAGAAAGAAATTGTACTTGTTTTTCATAGAATAAATGAACTTCTTTTATGTGCCATGACATTCGAAATCTTTCTACCATAAAATCTTCTTCTGACATTTCCAAGGCATACACATTCCCACAATATTGGCACCATTCCTTCCTTTTCTGTACAAAATGTGAGATTTCAAGCCAATTGTACAGTTGTAAATAAACGTGAGGACTTACTTGAAGCAGACAATGGCTGTGTAGTTTGTTTTTCATAATTTCCACCTTAAATATGATAAGCTATGGCACACAGGTTGCTATGACGATGCATGCTGACTTGTTTATTGAAACATTATACGTGTAGTATAGATTTTAATAGTATAGTGTGAATTTTGTTTTCTCATTCTTACACCACTCAGTTTTTATACATATTTGTATTTGTAGTTTTGTACGTCATTTCTGTGTGGTCTGCTTATTTTGTCATTGTGAGGTATTTTGACGTTTACCTTTTTCTTATTCAAAGAAAGATCTCTCTTCCAAAGCTAAATGCATATTACAAACTCGTAGTTTCACTGCAGTTGATTTTTCAAAGACATTTTAGAGGCTGTTGGAGAAAAAAATATAGGGAGAAAGTAAGTTTTAAATTGATATGTGCAGTATTACTCATACATAAAAATCTATGTAATTGTATCTTGACAAAAGTGACAAAAGTCAACCAATCTTTGAAAGAGTTCTAAAATGTTTAACATTTTGGAATGTGAATTGTGTGTAGTAAATACAGAATGTTTTGTCTTCCTTCCATTTGTGTATTTGTTTGCGATAGATATATATTTATGCTGATTTATTTGTATTTAGATGCTATTTAGTAAACTTGGTGAATAAAACATAGGCATGGATTTGTCAAAAGTACAGAAATCAGTCTGTGTCAGTGTAGCTATATGTCATCTCTCTCTCTCTCTCTCTCTCTCTCTCTCTTTATCTCTCTCTCTCTTTATCTCTCTCTCTCTCTCTTTATCTCTCTCTCTCTCTCTCTCTGTATCTCTCTCTCTCTAACTCTCACCTCTCTCTCTCTCTCTCTCTCCATCTATATCTCTCTCTCTTTCTCCATATGTCTCTGTATATCTCTCTCTTTCTCCATCTCTCTTTCTCTATCAGTCTCTCTCCATCTCTCTTTATCAGTCTCTCCATCTCTCTCTCTCTTGTATTTGTCATACATTAAGTTAAGGTGAATATGAAATTGGTTTAAGGTACTGTCTAACTTATTTTATTTTGGAAATCTTGTTAAATCAGGGCTTCAAAAAATAGAATACAAAGAGATGGAACTAGCCAAATTACCTTGTAATTACATAAGTAGAGTTTGTTATGACCCATGCACTTGTATAATAACCAAGGTGTTCTTTTCAGGGGGAGTAAAGACTATTCGTGGATTCTCTTGTCATTTTTATTTTGGTTCAAGAACATACTGAAAGATAGAGAGAGAGAGAGAGAGCAAAGAAACAGACAAGGAGCAAGGGGAAGAGAGAGAGAGAGAGAGAAAGAAAGAGCGAGAGTAGGGGGTGTGGAGAATAGCAAGATTACTAATAGGAAGACAACAGAAGAGAGATAGAGAGAGAGCTGGCACTTTAAGCCCACCCTCATGCATGACAGACCAAAATGTAATGAAAAATTAAAGGAAAAAAAACACCAATGAAACAAATAGAGATACCAAATCATCGATGTTTTTATGTTTTTAGATGCGCGCAGTGTAAGAAATGGAGGGGAATTGGCACTGGGAGGAAGGCGCGGATCCCGAAAATTTGAAAATAGCGCCGGCCGAAAGGTCGGGGGGGGGGGGAGGGGTAGTGAGCACATTTTTTTTATTTTGGTCCTCGAAAATTTTAAAATTTGCACCCCCCCCCTCCCCCCTCCCCCCTTGAGCGCCAGGGGGGGGGGGGCCATCTCCAAAAAAAGGTAAAATACACATGTGACAGTGGCAATAGAATCTCCCCCCCCCCCCCCCCCCCCCCCCGCTGACATAAACGCCCCGCAGTCATGAGGCATGCTGCCAAGTTGGAGAGCAAGGACGTGTTTATTTACAGACTAGCCGTGAAGAGAGCGGTCTGGCGCCCTCTTTGACAATAAACCATACAACAATTTTCTCCAATTATCTTTTTTGTAAATAGATTTATCGATGGTTTACTTTTTCTTCGATATTATTTTCAGGTTATGGGATGGTGATGGGAAAATGAATAATGTTTGATAACAGTTTCCAACAGTATATCGAATATATCATTAGTAACTGCAGGCTCCCTCCGGTATAATGCAGGCAGCAGGCTAATGTAAAAAAAAATATTTAACAACTGTGGTGCCGCAAGAAAATTTTAGTATTACTTTAGAATAACGTCAATTCCGTCAAAACCAAATATTAGAAATTGCTAGAGTACACAGTGGTGGATCCAGGAATTTCTTACCGGGGGGGGGCACAAAATTGCATGGGGTGAAATATATGAAAAACGATGGAGTGAAGCGACAGAGCGAGGCGCCAGCGGCGAGGGAGCGGAGCGACCAAGCGGGGGTGGGTCTGGGAGGGGTCAGAAACTCCCTTTTTTAGTTGGAAGCATTTAGAATTTTGAGAACCACATTTGGCACATTAATGTCCACCGGCACTTCCTGGAAAAAACGAGGCTTTCTGATTGATTAGAAGTTAGAGAAAATTGATCTGTCACGTCGCGGGACGTTGTATATGCTTCGTTGCTGCACAATGCACAAAGACGGTGGTTGGTACTTCACTAGTTGTACTTGCAAAAATTATCTCAAGTGTGTAAACTGTGTTGTTATCAGGGACGTCGCTGGATCTTTTTCAGTGGGGCGGGGGGGGGGGGGGGGGGTAGAGGCCACCGATTACCGAGAAAACTAGCCGTCAATTACCGACAAACATAATTAATGCCAATGTCCCAATGTCTAGTTAAAGTTATTTTTCAGTTTCCCCCTCCTCCGCGAAGTGCGAAAGCTTCGACACTTCATTAAATTATTAGAGAAAAAAGACGATTCGTTGTACCGTTCCCGACACGTGATTCTTGTTTCGCCCTTCCCACGCGAAGCGCAAAATTTTTCACGTTTCATTAAATTATTAGAGAAAGAAGACGATTCGTTGTATCGTGTCCTTGTCTGAATTCAGTTACACCCCCCCTCTCTTACTCCCACCCGTCTTCTCTCATGTTCTTACCATCTCTCTCTCCTCTATTTCATTCCCCGTTTATTATGTTTCATTTTTCTCTTCTTTTTTCCTTTTCTCCTTTTCTTTCTTTTTTTTTCCTTTTCTTTTCCTTTCTTTCCTCTCCTTCCTCTTTTTTTCCCCCTTTTTTCCTTCTCTTTCCTTTCCTTTCTTTAACTTTTCTATTTTCTTTTCATTCCCTTTCCCTCATATTTCCCCCTCCCCCTTTTCCTCATTTTTCCCGACAGCAGCGCAATTTTACCGACAATATCCTGACAGGTGTGGGGGTGTCGCATCCCCACACCCAGGGGCTGATCCACGTAGCGATTTTTCCGGCCCGGCCCCCCCCCCCCCAGCCCCCCAAATGATAAAAACTAGGATAATAACGTAAAGTTAACCTTTTTTAAAACTAAAAACAAAAGTCGGCGGTAAATTTTTCGTCAAAAACTCGATCAAAAAAAAAAAGAAGTGCTCCCCCCCCCCCCCCCGCTTATTCGCCGGCCTGCTGATCAGCACTAAATTTTGTATTAAGATTCGGCTTCCCCCCCCCCCTGTCGCCGGCTGGATCCTCTGCAGGCGCGGATCCACGGGGGGGGGGGGGGGGAGGGGGCTGACGGTTCAACAACATATTTAAAAAAATATATATATTTCCTGAAAAATTGGAAAAAAGTGCCTCCTACCCCCCCCCCCCCCGGTGGCTGAGTCGCAACTTATATTTTCTCACGGATTTGGCCCCCGGCCCCCCCCCCCCCCCTCTTCCCGCCGGCTGGATCCGCCACTGGCCCGAATATCCCACTATAATATGTTATCAAGGACCGCTTACAATGATTTTTGTATTCATATATTCGACAGCGAGGCACACTGTATTTAATCTAGTGTGTAACTGGTAATAAACGGGGTAATAAAGCAATTACATTATTGCGTATTAAAAGTGTGACTATTTTTTGCCAGGTCGTAAAATTTAGAAAGAAAATAATGTGCCAGTGTGTATGGCCCTTGACGAGTGTCAGAGTGATGCAAAATTAATCTTCTGTAAATAAATTTGGAATTTTATTTCTTAAAAGGGTACCATAATGACTATAATTTTTTTTTTTTTTTAAGTGAACGCTAGCGCTGTTATACCCGATCAATTGCAAGTTTACAAGTACCATCATCATCATCATCTAAATTGCAATATAAGTTGCGAATTAATCGAAACTTTTTATAATATAACTATAAGTCACCCCATAAGTCACAGAACCGAACTCTCCCTTACATACGTATACCGACTATGTGAACACACTGCTAAACAATCACTTACAAATAAAGAAAGAAACAAAACGATTTATCAATTTGAAAAATATGCATCTGCATTTTGAACGGTCTGTGAACACCGAGAACGCCGATCGGAGATCTTCCCGACACGCGACGTACGTACGGCCCGTTTTCAGCCACACATAGCAACTGAGAGACAGGTGCATAGCAACAATACATCAATACGCGCTTTGCTTTGGCTTTGGAGCACTTCCTACATACACGGTAAGCAGAAGAATTTCTACATTATGTTAGTTGAAATTGAATAATAAAATACTGACATTTGAGAAAGTATTACTTTTTCTATCAGTAAGAATAATGCGTTCTTTGAGTATGATGTGTTGTATGACACAATTGCGTGTGAAATGTGACGTGTTCGAGCGAGTTCTTTTGATGCTCAGTCCCATATGACATCTTTTGTGTTTGTTGATAATGATAGGGTGTCTGATCGCGCACTCGATTTTGTGTGCTAAAATCCTATGTCTATGTCATGATGTGCATTGCGCGAACATGCATAATGTGTCTCTCTTTCCTATTCTATTGCATAGATAATAGCTGGAAAGAAATATGCTGAAAAGTTGCTTCTCAAACTAAAAGTCAAATTCATAATCTGTTTAATCAGTGATGAAAAAAAGAGTGAACAGACTTGCTAAAAATGTGGCAACTTTCCTAATGATCATGAAGCATACATTTTCATGAATAATGCAGGCTTACAATGAAACAAGTGAATGTGGTTTCATTTGACATAAGAAGTAGTTGCTGTGACATGTAATATCATTTTACTATTTACAGAAACACAACATAAGGAGAAAGAAAGAAAGGTACAAACATGTCGATAGCACTCTCACAGCCCCGCCATGTATTTGGCATGAAGGGGGACGTCTCTGGCAACATCAGCTATGTTGACGAACAGACAGTGGTCTACCCTTGTGGTAGCAACATCATTCTCTACAACATCGACCAAAAGACCCAGCGATTCATACCAGGATCGGACAAGAGCTCTGGATTCTCTGCCACGTGCGTCAGCCCCAACAGAAGGTATATCGCGGTTGCAGAAAGAGGGTCAGACAAGGCACTTATTACTATCTATGATCTCCACTCCCTGAGGAAAAGAAAGGCCCTGAGCTCCACTGACATCCAGTCCAACGAGGTAGTCAGCATGGCCTTCTCTCCAGACTCCAAGTATCTGATTGCCCAGGGAGGCAGGCCAGAGTGGACCTTGGTCTATTGGACCTGGGAAAAGTCCAAAGTGATGGCTGTGACAAAGACTACAAATCCGGCTAATAATGACATCTACCAGGTAAACAAAATGAGAATCATTTTTAATGGTTCACGACATCAATTGAACTTTGCGATGAACAGTTAATGTTGTGTACAGTGCTATAGGTTTTTATTTATTACTCACATTGTATACAGATAAAGCAGATGT